AGCATGTGGCTCTCGCCTCAGCGCCGCGCACATTCGCTTTCAAGATTTGCAAGAGTTTCGCGGATTGAGGGCGTGTGGTGTTCGAAATGTGGCTCTCGCCTTAGCGCCGCGCACATTCGTTTAAAACAAGTGCAAGAGTTTCACGGATTGAGGGCGGTTCCTTTTCAAAATGTGGTTATCGCCTTAGCGCCGCGCACATTCGCTTTAAACATTCGCAAGAGCTTCACGGATTGAGGGCGGCTCCTTTTCAAAATGTGGCTCTCGCCTTAGCGCCGCGCACATTCGTTTTCAACATTTGCAAGAGTTGCACGGATTCACATGATCAGCGTACCAGAAATAGTGTTTTTGAAGGTTTCAGGATTACGCGGGTGCAGCAGTTATGTTGATTCGCGGTGATGAAGTCCCCAAAATGGCGCTCTGGCACGATTCGTGACCGTCAAGACGCAGCAGTTAGGTTGCAGTTAGGTTGATACGTGGCTCTGAAATGCCGAGAACAATGCTTTGGCATGGTTCAGGATCTTCAAACGGTTGTTTTCCAACGAGGCAGTTCCTCAATGGAAATGAATCGTTGTGGGGACCTGTGAAGAGGGAGCTTGGAGGGAGGGTCAATGCCAACATCCTTGATCACTCTTGGTTTTACACTGGTCCTCCTCCTCCTCCTCCTCCTCCTCCTCCTCCCCCTCCTCCTCCCTCTTCTCCTTCTCCTTCTCCTTGCCTCCTCCTCCTTCCTCTCCTCCCCCGCTCCTCCTCCCCTCCTCTCCTCCTCCTCTTCCTCCTCCTCCTCCTCCTCCCCTCCTCCTTCCCCTCCTCTACCCCCCTCCTCCCCCGCCCGCTCCTCCTGCTCCGCCTCCATCCCCGCTGCAGGGCCCCTCCTCCTCCACCTCCTCCTCCTCCTCCTCCTCCCCCTCCTCCTGCTCCACCTCCTCGGGCTGCCTGCAGGGTGCGCTGGGCCGTCGGGCGGAGGGCGCCGCGCGGCCTGCTGGCGGGCCCCTGGGGGGGACGGCCGGCGGCCAGGCCGCTGGGTGCCGAGCCAGGACGAGGACGCGGACGGCCCGCTCGAGGACGCGCCCGCGGCTTCCGGACACGGTAGAATCGCGTCGTGTCGACCGGCGGCGACCCCGCCGCTGGCGTTCAATGTTGAACGCCGCCGGGGACACAGAATTGGTCGACGTTGAACGATCCAACGTTTCGGAAACGGCCGGTCGTTCCAGGTTGACCGATCCCCGCAGTGTCAGGAACCAGCGCTGAAGTCGGCACGACACGAACCTGCCGTAGGGGAACACGCAATGACATTACCTCGCGGTCACCCCGACGTACTAACATCGTGTGTGTGCGTGTGCGTGTGCGTCGCCCCCCGGGGGCGACGCGCGCGCCGAACAATCCGACAGCATGAGCTCCGTGGCGGGCGCTTTCTGGCCCTACCGCTCAGGAAGATGTTCGGGTCGGACGCACACCGCACAGGAGGACACATAGTGCTAGTGTGAGTATGTCTTTCTGCGCGTTTGATTTTCGCAGAGAGGCCTGGTGAGGGATTGAAAGATTGAGCGTTGAAATATTGAACAAATTGTGTTCTGTGGGTAAAAGTGAAATCTTGAAATAAGGAAAGATCGAAACATCTTCCATTCCAGGGGTCCTGGATGGAAAGGATCCGGATTGAACGATTGAAATAATGAAAAACCCTTCAATCCGGTCGGCCCATCTTGAAACATAGAAAGGATAATAGATTTCGCAATTTGGAGGTTTGAATTGAAAGATTGTAAGAGTGGATTGTTTAGGAATCGTTCTTTCTCCCAACCTTTGAATCCGAGACTCCAGACGCAGAGTTTTTTGGCCCCAGTTTCCATCGACATGTGCGACATCCGCTCGAAGGCAGCCACGAAGGCTGTCGATTTACAGGACTTTGCCTGACGCAGTTGGACGAGAAGATTATGCTTTGTTTCCACCGCTTCTTTTTCCGCCCTTCTCTCCTCGTCCTCCCCTTGCTCTGCGTCGTCTCCTTCCTCTCACACTGCTAGTGCCCGGGACGGCCCTGGCAGGCGAGCGTTCAAGCGGGCGCGGGGGAGGTTCGGGACCGAGCCTGAGTTCCGGGGGTCTGGACCTGGCGATGCGGAACTCGGCGGTCGGTGAAGGAGTAGGAAGAGGATGATGATGACGATGATGCTGATGCTGATGCTGATGCTGATGCTGCTGATGATGATGATGATGATGCTGATGATGATGATGATGATGATAATGATGGTGAAGGTGGTGGTGGTGGTGTTGATGATGATGATGATGATGATGATGATGATGATGATGATGATGATGATGATGATGATGATGATGATGATGATGATGATGATGATGCTGATGATGATGATGAGGAGGAGGAGGAGGAGGAGGAGGAGGAGGAGGAGGGGGAGCAGGAGGTTGAGGAGGGAGAGGAGGATGAGAAGGAGGTTGAGGTGGGAGAGGAGGAGGAGGCAGAAGGAGGAGAGGCACGATCAATTGGAGGGTGAGGAGGAGTAGCAGACAGAGGAAGACGACGCCGACGAGGAGAAGGTGAAGGAGGAGAGAGTCCGTGAGCACACATCTCGTGTGCTTGTCGTTTCTGTTATCCTGCCGGGTAGTTATCGCCATTGTTGTTTCAACGTGCTTCGGCGATATATATATATATATATAGAGAGAGAGAGAGAGAGAGAGAGAGAGAGAGAGAGAGTCCCACGGTCACCTAATGTGGGGTCCCTATTTGGTCCTACTCGTGGGACCTTCCGAGCCCTTATCGCGGCCCTCCTGGCCCTTAACTTTAGGCCATCCGGCCCTTCACTTTAGGCCATCCGGCCCTTAACTTTCGGCCATCTGGCCTTTAACTTTAGGCCATCTGGCCCTTAAGTTTAGGCCATCGATGCCCTTCATTTCAGGCCTCTGGGCCCTTAACTTTAGGCCTCCCAGCCCTTCACTTCACTTTTGAGCAAATGGGCCTTGCATATTTCCCCCCTGACGTTCCGAGGTGACCTCGCCCTCCCCTGAGACACCCAGAGCCGGAGATTTAAGGTTCCCGGGCTGGGGAGTTATAAGGTCCTGGACAAGGTCCCCGAGCTGAGGAAAGGTCCCGGAGCTGGGGAGTTCAGGTCCTGGAGCTGGGGAGTCAAGGTCCCGGAGCTGGGGACTCAAGGTCCTGGAGCTGGGGACTCAAGGTCCCGGAACTGGGGACGTAAGGTCCCAGAGCTGGGTGTTTAGGTCCTGGAGCGCGGAGAGTTAAGGTCCCAGAGCTGGGGACTTAAGGTTCCGGAGCTGGGGACGCAAGGTCCCAGAGCTGGGAAGTTAAGGTCCCGGAGCTGGGGATTTAAGGTCCTGGAGCTGAGGGTTTCAGGTCCCGGAGCGCGAAGAGTTAAGGTCCCGGAGCTGGAGACTTAAGGTCCCGGAGCTTGGGTTTCAAGGTCCCGGAGCGTGGAGAGTTAAGGTCCCAGAGCTGACAATGCAAGGTCCCGGGGCGCGGAGAGTTGAGGTCCCGGAGGGCGTCTCCGCGGTGGTCGTTTAGGTGGAAACCGTTACACTTATCACCCATTTGGCAGCGGCGAGCCGGCCCTTAAGTCGGCCCCAGCCGGCCCTTAAGTCGGCCGTCGCCCAGCCGGCCTTTACGTCGGCCCCAGCCGGCCCTTAAGTGGCCACGAGCCGGCTCTGAAGTGGCGCCCCGCCGGCCCTTAAGTCGGCCCCAGCCAGCCCTTAAGTCGTCACCCAATTGGCCCTTCAGTCGGCCCCAGCTGGCCCTTAAGTCGGCCCCAGCCGGCCTTTACGTCGGCCCCAGTCAGCCCTTAAGTGCTCCCCCAGCTGGCCCTTAAGTGGCTCCAGCTGGCCCTTAAGTGGCCCCAGCCAGCCCTTAAGTGGCCCCCCGCCGGCGAAGGTGCTTCGATTTGGGTTCAGGCTCTGAAGTGGCCCCCCGCCGGCCCTTCAGTCGTCCCAGCCGGCTCTGAAGTGGCGCCCCGCCGGCCCTTAAGTCGCCCCCAGCCAGCCTTTAAGTCGTCACCCAGCCAGCCCTTAAGTCGGCCACAGCCGGCCTTTAAGTCGGCCCCAGCTGGCCCTTAAGTCGGCCCCAGCCAGCCCTTAAGTGCCCCCCCAGCCGGCCCTTAAGTGGCCCCAGCCGGCCCTTAAGTGGCGCCCCGCCGGCCCGTAATTTGGCCCCAGCCAGCCCTTCAGTCGTCTCCCAGCCGGCCCTTCAGTCGGCTCCAGCCGGCCCTTAAATCGGCCCCAGCCGGCCCTTAAGTCGGCCCCAGCTGGCCCTTAAGTCGGCTTCAGCCGCCCTGTAAGTGGCCCCAGCCAGCCCTTCAGTGGCCCCCCGCCGGCGAAGGTGCTTCGATTTGGGTTCAGGCTCGCCCGAAATACAGCCCCGTCGGTCTTACATTTAAGGTCCCGGCCAGGATATGGTTAGGTTCCGTGGTGGTATTTTGAGGTCCTGTGGCTGGCATTGGAAGGTCCCGTGGAGCCCAGAGTTAAGGTCCCAGTGGGGTGATTCTTATGGTCCAGTGGGTAGGGTTTCAAGCAGCCGTGGGTGTGGTTTTAAGGTCCCGTTGGAGGCCTATGAAGGGGTTAAATGCACGGCAAGTGTTAGGTGTCGCTGGGACCCCATAATATATCTATATATACAGATAGATACACATGTATATATATATATATATATATATATTTGTATATACATACATATAGTTATATGTATATGTGTATATATATGTGCATATATATATAGTTATATGCAGCACTCTCTCTCACACTGTCTTTCCCAATCCATTTTTAAAACTTGTCTTTCATCGCCACTCTCGCTCTCTCTTTCTCTCTCTCTCATCTGCTCTCTCTCTCTCTCTCTTTCGCTCGCTTTTTTGTTGTTTTCTCTCTCTCTCTCTCTCTCTTTTTGTTTTTTTCTCTCTCTCTCTCTCTCTTTCTCTCTCTCTCTCTATCGCTCTGTTATTCCTATTTGTTCCCTCTCTCTCAGACACTCATAAAGGATTTCTTGGGCCTCTGGCCAGTTTCGTGGGGATTCCTAGGCGACTCTGGGGCGACTCTTTGGCGCATGGGGCTCGCTTGGGGCTGTCTGCGGCTGTCTGGGGAACCCGTTCAGAGGCTCTTGGGATGTTTTTGGGGCGATGTGCGTGGCGACTCGGATGGCTGATGGGGCGTCGTGGGAAGCCTCTCGAGAGCGTGTTGGAAGCACTGTTTGGTTGGATTTTTCGGACGCCTCTGGGGAGTTCGTGGGGACCTCGGGAGACTCTCTTCGGAAATGTAAATTATTTCGTGGGCCTCTGGCCGGTTTCGTGGGGAATCCTAAGTGATTCTGGGGCGACTGGGGCTCGCTTGGGGTTGTCTTCGGCTGTCTGAGGATGCTGTTCAGAGACTCCTGGGGTGTTTTGGGAGCGATGCTGGGACCCTCTGGGGCTGCCGTGGATGGTGTGCAAGGCGACGAGGCGAATATGGTGCAAATGTACGTTTCCCTTTGGAGAATCGTAGAAGTTTTGTTTATGCGGGCTTTCCTGGAGAGCGTATTGCGAACTTTTTGGGACGTCAAGATGGCTTCTGAAGGTCGGTTCTGACCATGTAGCAGTGGAACACATGAAAAACAAGCAATCGCTCACCCAGGAGATTTTTTAATATTGCAAGGTTGAACGCATGAAATATTGAAATATCTTTGAATCCAGGGGTCCCAGATTGAAACATTGAAAGACTGAAGCAAAATGAGATCTTTCATGATTTCCCATCTCTCATCACATGTGTTCAAACCTTTTCAACCCGATCAGACCTCTGTTCGAAAGGGTAACTTCTGCGCCCCCAACAACATAACAATTCGGAGGTCCGCACAGATTTCTCGGATCGGCGCTGGAGCCACCGTAAGGATATAAACTTACATTTTAAGGGTCTACACTTCCGACGGAAAGTTTATACCCTGGCTTGCCACCGTAATGGTATAACATTTCCGAGCCGCCCTGGGACAGGGACCCCCGCTGGCGAAGAAGTTTATGTTATACCGTTCTTCGCCCGTTAAGTTATGTCTATGTGATTAATTATTCTCCTATCTGGAGGGCCTTCGGCGGCCCTCGGAGGGTCTCGGAGGCCCCGCGGCGGCCTTCGGCGGCCCGCGGCGGCCCTCGGCATCGCACAGGGTCCAGGTGGATGCGAACCGCCCTGGACGAGTTTGATGATACGAGTCACGACGATGGTGGATATCAACTATGCCGAACGTGCCACTGAAGCATGTGTCGAGGGGGGGCCATGAAGGCGAGAGGAGGGATGACGACAGCCATGGCCTGATGGCGATGGCACTGCTGGCCTTGAGAATGAGTGACGACGAACGTGCTGAGTATGACAACGGTTTTGACAAGGATGATGAGGATGACATTGGTGTTGATCGTTGTTCTGTCATGTTTTGTCATTTTAACGAAGATGGCGTTTGGTGTTGTTGTCCGATCCAATTTCGGTTTCACCCCAATTTCCGATCTACCTTCCCGTCAATGCATCTCACATACGTGTATTCGACTTCCAGATGCTTAGTTTTTACTGTCTGTTATTACTGTCTTTGTATCAGCCACTCGATGGCTTCTATGAATGTGTATACACATTTTGATCCGCTTATGCTCATGTCAGTAGTTCGAGCTACATGCCCATATGGATAGCTGTCCGTGCCTCTCCTTTCTTTTCTGAATACAAGCGTACATACACATAATCGCTATCCGTGCGTATGTACGCCTATTTGGGACTATGCGTATACACGCATATATATATATATATATATATATATATATATCTGTGTGTATGTATATATGTACAATTGTACCAACCAGCAAGCATGCAGACACATATGCACATACGCATGCATACATCTATAACTGCCGATCTGTCTCTTTCCCTCTGTCTCTCCCTTTCTCTCTTCCTTTTTTTGATCTCTCTCTCTCTCTCTCTATATATATATATATATGTGACCGCCCCTCTACAATATCTACCTCCCTATAATTCGCCGTATTGATCCCCAGCAATCCTGTGGTGTTGGGTTCTCGTTTCGAAGAGACAGCGCTCCGCGTTCCTTCCTTTCCGCTGCCCCCCCTGCTCCTGCTCCCTTTCCTTTCCATGTCGGCACGCCCCTCACACGTTTCGTGCCCGATATGGGAGCTCCACCGGATGCCCGTGGCTGCGTTCGCACGCGCCCACCGCACCCGTTTCGACACCCCCCTCGCGTTTCGGTGCCTCATAGGGAACTCCGCCGAAGGCCTCAGTGGCTGCGTAGGCATGCGCCCACAGGCACACCCCTCACACGTGCCGTCGCCCCATAGGGAGTTTCCCCAGACCACCGCACCTGTTTCGGCACACCCCTCAAACGTTTCGTGGCCCAACAGGCAGCCCCACCGAAGGCCCTAGTGGCTGCATTCGCATGCGCCCACCCCACTTGCTTCGGCACACCACTCACACGTTTCGTGGCCCAAGAGGGAGCTCCACCGAAAGCCCTAGTGGCTGCATTCGCATGCGCCCACCGCACCTGTTTCGACACTCCCCTCACACGTTTCGTGGCCCAAACAGGGAGCTCCACCGAATGCCCCAGTGGCTGCGTTCGCATGCGCCCACCGCACCTGTTCCGGCACACCATCACACGTTTCGCGGCCCAGCAAGGCGCTCCACCGAAGGCCCCAGTGGCGGTGTTCGCGTGCGCCCCCCGCACCTGCTTCGGCGCACCCCTCACACGATTCGTGGCCCCAGAGGGAGCTCCACGTCCATCGCACGACTGTCGGCGCACCCCTCACACGTGTCGTGGCCCACACAGGGATGTCCACCGACGGCCCCAGTGGCTACGTTCGCATGCGCCCGCCCCGCGTGTTCGGGCACACCACTCACGCGTTTCGTGGCCCACACGGAGCGCCACCGAAGGCCACAGTGGCGGTGCTCGCATGCGTCTGCCCCGCCCACTTCGGCTCACCATTGGTTTCGTGGCCCCACAGGGAGGTCCACCGAAGACCATACTCACAACTGTGTTAGCCGCATATCGTTGGGCCCTTCGCCAGGCTAATCTAGTGCCCGATTTTTCTGTCTTGCTTTCGTTGCTTCATAGGTGTACGCTTTGGGGTGGATTCCGATACATATTCTGACGCATTTGGGGCTTCTGTCTATGGCCTACCCTACCCTACCCTCACTCTTCCCATCCGAGTTATCGTTCTTCCTGTTTCGCTTCCATTTCCTCACCCACTTTCTCACCCACCTTCTTCGTCTTGTTCGCAGCCTGTGAGGGGCACAACAAAGACCCTGGGCGAGAGAGACTCCCGCCTGCGAGGCCCACCAAACAACCGAAATGAGACTTGCACATGAAAACATGACGATTCACAGCTTAAAGCAGTATGTGTACTTTGTCGGTTGACGAAACACTTGCCTGGACGAACATAATGCCAACCACGTCACATCCGACTTGGACACCCTTTATGACCTTCTAAAAACTCCTGCGTTGCAAAGGTTGCACGCTATTTCGCACCCCCCGCACCCAGAGCAGGGCACACGTACAACCAGTTGAATTCAATAAGAACCCGCCCCCTCAGTCCTTTGGTCCCTTTTCCCTCTCGGGGGGGGAGGGGCAGGAGGCTGCCCGACTGCAGTGGAATCGCGTGCTGCTGCCACTCCCCTGCCCGGCTGCGCAGTTGTTGACTGTGCTCGACGCGTCCCGCCGCTCCCCGCTGGCCGGCCGGAGGAGTGGTGGCGCGCGCTGCCCGCCAGCTACGTGGTGAGGCGGTCACCCCCCCCGGGAGGGGGGGCGGGGGGCGGGGATTCTCGCTGGGAGCCGCTGGGCTCGGTGAGGCCTGCTCTTCCGGCTGGAGGGCGAGGAGGAGATCGCGGGGGGTGAGGAGGGCGATGAGAGGGAGGAGGAGTAGGAGGAGGGGGAGGAGGTGGTGGAGGAGGAGGAGGAGGAGGATGAGGAGGATGAGGAGGAGAGGAGGATGAGGATGAGGGATGAGGAGAGGATGATGATGAGATGAGGATGATGATGATGATGATGATGATGATGATGATGATGATGATGATGATGATGATGATGATGATGATGATGATGATGATGATGATGATGATGATGATGATGATGATGATGATGATGATGAGGAGGAGGAGGAGGAGGAGGAGGAGGAGGAGGAGGAGGAGGAAGCACGCAGCGCAGCATCGACGAATTACAGGATGACCAAAGCAGGAGGCAATTATTGGGCTCATGCAACATGTTTCACAGCTCCCGCGTCGCTTCAAGAGAAACTCAGTGCATGGTGCCGGGGGCCACGGGCTTCTGTGCTACATGGAGCGGCGACGTGGCGCCTGACGGCACAGAGGCTATGGTCATGGGAACTCAAATGGCTTCGTAAATATCTCCGGTTGCGGCGCCGTCTGTGAAGAGCGAGAAGAGACCGTTGCATGTGGCAGCGCTTCAAGCGGTATACAGTGAAGCTTACCACGAGCGTAGTATAGTGCCAGGGTTGGCAGGGCAAAGGGGATTCAACGACAGGGATTGTTGGGAAATTGTAAAAACCTTTTCTGGGAAGCGACGCAGAGTCGAAGGGCTTCTCCGGAGATCTGGCGGAAGAAGGCCGGCGTGGGAGAGAACCCGATGGTGAGTTTCCTGGGCCTGCACGGGCGCGCAGAGCGCGACGCGATGACGCCGGCGGACTGGACGCGCAGCTTGCCGGCATTCATTGCTGATGCTTGTAGCCGCTGGGAGTATCACCAAACATTGGTTATATTATGCTTGCGACCAGAAATTATGGGACAGCTGGGAAGACGCCTTCCTCCACCACATGCAGTAACAGGGCTCCGGCCCACCCGCGCTGCTCTTAGGGGGCCCGCCGGCCGTCCGGCGGACTCAGCGCGCTCTTCTTCTTCTTCTTCTGTAGCCGCTGGAGGCTGCCGCTCTGCTGCCCAGATAAGCGAGAAGATGGAGAGGAGCCGGCTTTCAAGCAAAGCCGGACAGGAATGCCAGAGGGAAGGACCGAGTGAGATTTCGAGGAGGTAGCCCTGCCATTGACGAGCTGCTCGACACGATTGCGCCCGAGATTCAATGGGACTCGTCGGAGCATCGCTTTGTGTACGCTGTAGACTCGTAGACTTTAACGAACCGTGTGTGCGGCCATTCGCTGCTACATGATACGCTCTATGAGGCGCTTCTCACGCGAGTGCTAGACCAGATTCTGGACCATCTCTATCACGGATTGCGCCTGCCACAGTTTCACGGCGATCCGGTCCAGTGGTGGAACATAAAGTTTAATAAGGAAGCAGATGGCCTAGCCGATCACACCATGGACCAACGCAGCTCCTGATCTTAAGTGTTTCAGTCAAGCTCCGCGCTTGCACGTGCGAATCTTGTTCTCCAGACAGACGGTGTCCGAGAGGGCGATTTCGCCGCCGCTGCGTGGATACTCGGCATTTGGGTCTGCACGCCAGACGGTAATATATTTGAGCCTGTCATGGTCCACGGTGCATTTTTTGCCCCACTGTGTAGTGTTTTCGGAGCCGAAGCTATCGCCCTCGAAGAAGCATCGAAGGAAGTGGCCAGGCTCCTTTCTGAGTCTTACAGCACAAACAGCTGCAGTTCGGGCTGCGTGCGCCGCGCCACAGAAAGAGGAGGATGAGGAGGAAGAAGAGAGGGAGGAGGAAGAAGAAGAGGAATAGGAAGAGGAAGAGGGCGAGGAAGAGGATGATGAGGGGGGCGAGGAGGATGAGGAGGAGGAGGAGGAGAAGGAGGAGGAGGGGCAGGAAGATAGCGGGGTGGGTGGGTTGGAGGTGAATGACGATGACGATGGTGATGATGATGAAGGTGATGATGATGGTGATGGTGATGATGATGACGATGATGATGACGATGATGGTGATAATGATGACGATCACGATGACGATGGCGACGATGATGTTGTTGTTGATCATGATGCTGACGATGCTGATGACGACAATGATGATGATATTCGTTGTGATGATGCTGATTGTAGTTGTGGTGATGATGGTACTGTTGGTGGTGGTCATGATGATGATGCTGATGACTATGTTGCTGATGACGATGATCATGTTCCTGATGATGATGACGGCGACGATGACGAAGCTGATCGTGATAATGATGCTGATGCTGGTGCCGGTGATGGTGGTGTTGGTGGTGGCGATGATGCCGACGATGATGATGTTGATTATGATGATGATGATGATGATGATGCTGATGTCGACGACGATGACGATGACGATACCGATACTGATGATGCTGATGATGATGATGATGACGATGCTGATGATGCTGATGATGCTGGTGACGCTGATGCTGATGATGATGCTGATGTTGGTGATGAGGTGTAGCATGAGTCATAGGATTCGGGCGATGACGATGATGACGAGCATGATGGCGATGATGCTGATGATGACGATGGTGATGATGATGCTCATGATGGTGATGCTGATGACGATGATGCTGATGCTGCTGATTATGATGATGAATGATGATGCTGTCGCTGCTGATGGTTGGGTGGTTGTTGTTGCTGATGGTGTTCTTGGTGATGTTTGTGGTGGTGATGCTGATGACGATGACCATGACCCTGAGGATGATGTTATGATGATGCTGCTGCTGCTGCTGCTGCTGATGATGATGATGATGATGATGATGATGATGATGATGATGATGATGATGATGTTGATGTTGATGTTGATTGTTGTGGTGGTGGTGATGATGATAATGATGACGGTTTGCTGCTGCTGGTGATGACGATCCTGGTTCTGAGCCCTTTCCCTTGCAGAGCAAGCCAGTCTCAGCCGTCCGAGAAGTCAGGTTGACATCAATACAGGATTCGACGATGTTTTCATGTATTCATTCGTTCCTTCTCCTCCTCCTCCTCCTCCTCCTCCTTTTCCTCCTCCTCCTCCTCCTCCATCTCCTTCGCCTCCTCCTCCTTTCTTCTTTCTCCCTTCTTTCTCCTTCTCCTTCTCCATTCTTCCTTCTCCTCCTGCTATATATCTCCTTTTTTCTCCTTCTCCTCTTCCTCCTCCTCCTCCTCCTCCTCCTCCTCCTCCTCCTCCTCCTCCCCCTCTTCCCTCCACTTGTACTGTCACTCCTCCTTCTCCCTTCTCCTCCTCTTCCTTCTCCTCCCTCCCGCCCTCCTTCCCTGCCTCCTTCCCTTCCTCCCTCCCTTCCTCCTCCCCTCCCTCGACCTCCTCGTCCTCCTCGCCCTCACATCTCCTCCTCCTCCACCTCCTACTCCTCCTCGTCCCCTTCCCCCCCGTCCCTCGAGCGTTCCTGCCAGAAGAGGCGGAGCTGGGCGGACGTCTGCCAGTTCCACCGCTGCGTGCGGCGCCTCGCGCACGACCCCGAGCTGGGCTGCACGCGGGTCAAGGCGCGCGCCGGCCCCGCTCACCTCCCCCCGCGGCGGCGCGGTGGCATCGATGCCTCCTTGAGGAGCGAGGGCCGAATATCGAGGAGGAGGAGGAATATTCAAGAATGGCAAACCAGGAGGAAGATGAGGCGGAGGAGGAGGAGGAGGAGGAGGAGGAAAATGAGGAGGAGGATGAAGAGGAGGAGGAGGAGGAGGAGGCGGACGAGGAGGAGGAGGATGAGTGAGGAGTGGGGAGTGAGGAGTGAGGAGGAGTGAGGAGTGAGGAGTGAGGAGTGAGTGAGGAGTGAGGAATGAAGAGTGAGGTGTGAGGAGTGATGAAGCTGATGATGATGCTGATGATGATGATGCTGCTGCTGATGATGATGATGACGAGGAGGAGGAGGAGGCGGAGGATGATGATGAGGAGGAGGAGTGGGAGGGGAAGGGGGAGGGGGAGGGAGAGGCGGAGGAGGAGGAAGAGGGATCAGGGATCAGGCCGAGGCGCATCATCCGATTCGAAAGAGGGCCGCTGGCAAGTGGGCGGCAGCGGCCGCCAAGAAAGGTCTGGAGCTGCGGCTCCACGCCCGAAAAGGAAACGAGCCTCGTGGCCACAGGGCCGACGGCGCTGCCGAGCTCAGCACGTCCTCGCCACCAGTCCCACAGCTAGCGAGGCTCGCGCGCAGCCAGGACCTCGTCACGGAACCAGAGTTGGCCCGCGGTCGGAGTGCCTTGGCAGGGCTGCAGCAGCGAGCGGAAGGCTGGCTGCTCTATCAGCGCGTGGGCGCCGCAGCGCCTGCAAACGAGGTCGCGCCCCGCGGGCTGTACCTGGTGTTCTTGAAACTCGAACACGTCAGGCGCTCGGGTCTGAGGTGACGACGACGACGTCGACGACGACGACTCATCATGAAGCCCGAGCGCCGACAAGGCCAATCTGACGGCACTCGAACGCGCCCTCGGCAGGGTCCCACCGAGCCTCTCCGTTCTGACCGCCGGCAAAAAGAGATGCAAGGCCGTCGGCTCGCACCGCGCGCCAGGCCGCTCCAACCGAGCACGAGCCATGGTCGCCCTCGCCGAGCAGTGACACCAGGTGCAGCGGACCGACCCATCAGGGACCTGCTCGAGGTCGTGAGAATCAGAACGAGTGGGGCCGTAGGGTTTTCGGCTTCTGGGCGACCCGAGGTTCGACCACACTGCTGCTGGCCACCACCTGGGCCGCCCTGGATCTGAAATCAAACGTCCGCCTAGTTTGCTTCAGGCGCTCCTTGAGCGCTTCCACGGCAACGTCAGCGAGACAGATCTGGGCCGATCCCGAATTCGCGAAGCAGTCAGCCCAGGCATTCCCACGGATATCAAACACTCGAGACACGCCCCCCGACTCCCCACCAGGCTCAGCGGCCAGCGCATCATCAAGATCTCCATGGGCTGGGGCCCAGCGAAAGGTCGGCCTCTCAGGCCGATCCTGATAGAGCGTCAAACATTCACGCCAAATGGTGGCGTGACGGCTCGATCCTCTCTGTAATCTGTCCGCCCACTCGGCGCCCTCGCGAACCGCGGGCAGAGGATCCGAGACGATCTCGGCCCCCCACGGGGCCACTCGGAGCGCCTCGAGGATGGCCTGCCTCTCGGACCTCGGGGCCGCCTGGCGCCTCCCCGCGAGGCCCCCATGGCGGGCCCGAGTCGGCCAGCCTTGGGCCGAGAGTTCCTCGGCGGCCCACCCGCAGCGGGTGGCTTCGGGGACCCCGTTGGCACGGCCAGACCCGTCGGTATACATCGTTCGCCCCCAACTTGATGACCCCGAGCAAACATCGGCAACGCAGTGGGGACCGAACTCAGCTGAATCGTCATCGAAGGGGGACCGTGCGCGAACTCGAGCGAATCGAAATCGGGCGGAAGTCCTTTCGCTTAGTCCTTCAACCACTGACGATGCTCCATCAGGTCATCAGGCAGCGGCGGCGCAACCTCTGGATCCTGCTCCGCTTGGGTCCAGGCGCTGTCACGTTCAAAACATTGGTGCCCGAACGTACCAGGCTTCTGCTCGCAAAATTGACACTTGTCGGAGTCGGCGTAGCCGTGTAAAAACTTACGAGCTGGCGGCCAGAGCCCCCCCCCCGAGCAGGGCCCTCGAGGTGCCCCTGCGCACGTGATTTCGCACCGAGAGCGCGCCGAGCCGAAGCGCTCGACCCCAAACAACCTCGGAGCAGGTGGCTTCTGGGGGGGCCGACAACAGCTGCAGCATTTGCACGCGGTTTAAACCCTCGAGCAACAGTCTGCGAATGTCATGAGATGAGACCGAATGCAGAGAAAAAAAAGGTTTCGCCGAGGTCGGAGCGAATACAATGCGGACCCACAAGGTCCCAGCGGATTCGGCGGAGGCTCAAAATGACGGCCCCGATGGGCCCTTGGACCTGGGCCCACGACCACTTCGCAGGAAGCGTGCCGTAAGCAAATTGCCAAGCCTTGCGCAAGTCGGAATCATTCGCTCTGCGATCCCAGACCTAGCAGTACTATCGGAGAACCAGCGGCGCTGTAGGTAACGTCGCTATAGGGTGCTAAAATAAGCAATGACATGAACTCGACCTTTAGCACCCATCAGCTCCGCAGCTAGCCCCCTCAGGCTCCGAAGCGTGGTGTCTCCTACTCCCGCGACCGAGGCTTCGTGGCCCCCGCTGGGCATGAGCCCAGCGCGCCAGAGCGCGGCCGCTTTGGGCCCAGCCGTTTTTTTTTGTTTCGTTGTTTGTTAACATACATATATATATGTATGTCTATATGTATGTATGTAGATATATAAACATGTTTTCACAACCTTGATTTTCACCCGGCGCTCCAGGAGCTTTCGGCGGCGACCGGCCTCCACGCTACGGGTGGCCTTCCTACCGTATAAATCATGGCCCAAGCTTCGAAAGTGAGCCTTGCTTCTAAACCCCAGCCGCCGCGCCGAATAACTGATTTTCTTTTCGGCTGCGATCGAGTGGGCCGGGAACCCAGACTCATTCGGCTGCAGCAGGAGACCAATCGGGGCAAGGCGGCGGCGCAGATCTCGAACCGCAGCGAACACAAGCTCGGCATTTTGAACGTCTGGACCCTGCCACTGGAGAGAAACGTCGCCCATCGCAACCCTCGCGTTGATGGGCGGAATTCTGGAAATGGTCTGCCTGACTGGGTTCAACCTTTGGCACAAACGTGGTTACAACCAGCCAGGATTCCCTGATAGGAGATATAGAACTCAGACAACGCTCCATGAGCTTCTATACACCTGGGCGCGATATACGATTGGATCAACATCCAGCCTAACATCAACCGGAAACCTACAGCCCTGTAGATATCGAAGATAACTGACAACCTAATCATTTCGTAGCACTTGGCCATGTCGAGAAGGGCGCTTACCCAGTGCCGACCTTTGGCCCTGGCAATTTCGGCAGAAAGGCTTAGCTCAAACGCTGAATCGCTCGCGCTCCTCCTAAGCCCGCTACCCCAGAACTCCTCCGTCCGATTATCGCGCTCCCAGCGCTCAGACACGGGCCTACGGGCCCTGGGCCAGATCCTTATCAGCGAATCTAGAAGAGCAATCAGGCGGTGGCCCCCGTCAGGCTTCGGCAGCCTTATCAGCTTCGAGACAAGCCTTCGCGAAGGCCACGCTCCTACCTGCTCGCGCCGATGCAGCAATGGCGCAAAGGCCTCAAGGGCCTCTTCCGAAAGGTACACCGGCGACCGAGGATGTACTGACACAAACCCTACCCCTGTTCGTTCGTCGAACTGGCCTATCGCTGCACGCATCGCCGGCACTGCGATGTCTGGCAGGGGCTCCCAGGACGAAAAATCACCAGGAAGCTCAGGGGCTCTGCATTTGTGGGTGGCCCAAATCGAACCCCAAACCGACGGACACTCATCGGACAGCTCAAAAGGTTGGGCCCGCTCCGTGGCCCCCATGACCTCCTGGGCCGCCTTGGTTTTCGAGTGGCGGTGAGCTGCTCGAGCCCCGCCCAGAAAAGAAGACCTGACCCAGGTCTGCCACTCCTCATTTTCCACCGCAAGAAAGGCTGCCTCGTGGAGCGCGGCCCTGTCCAGGATCCTTTGCACCGGGTCCGCGAAGGACGGGTCGCCCAGGGCGTCGGTGCCCGCCCTGAAGAACCCCGCCGCGAGGTCGTCAAGGTGCGCAAAGGCCCAGCCGTGGGAACAGATCCCCTGGCATAACCTCGCCACCTCGTAGAGCACACGAGCTGCGCGTTGAAGCCGTCGCTCTTGATCTCCATCATCCAACCCGAGACGAGTAATATAACTTTGGAGCACTGCGTCGACACTTCGCAGGTGACGGGCCCACCTGGCCGCCGTGCTCCAAGCCGCCTGCTCGGGGCTCCTCTGCGGAAGTCGATGTCTAGGGGTGAACTGCAAACGCTGCCGCTGCATCTCATGCGGGCCACCATGCCCAGTGTATTGATGAACGGCGTCCCCGACCACATCGTGTCTATCGCACAACTCTGCTTCCACTCCGTGAAGGAAAGTGCCCCAGAACTCACGCAAATCATCAGCACCCGCAGCCTGCGGCAGACGCGCATGAAAGTCTGGCCACAGCCTGGGATATCGGCCACAACCAGGCTTGGCAACAGTCGGATTTGTTTTCGGCTGCTTGGGGACTCGGCACCATAAAACTGTCTGAGGCCCGCCTATCTCCATCTCCGCTGGCTTATGCGGCGAGGTGCCAATGTCATCGCACACCAAGGGAACCTTGGTCCAGATGGCGAGGTTGGTGCTGGCTACGAAGAAATCTATCTTAGTTCCAGGACTAGATAGAGTACACGTTTGGCCTGCTGGTGCCGCAACCGCACCTCCAATACCAGCATTTCACGCAGAGATCTGGTCTGGGTGCATCTGGAAATCGCCTCCTATGACCCAATCGTAGCCAAGGCTGTGGATGCGGTTGACGTAGGCAGCGATCTCAGTCAGCAAGCTAACATTGGCAGGGCTGAACTCCTCCGACGTGTGAAGGTAATCCGAGGTCGTCACAAACCCTTTCTTGCAACAAT